GAAAGGATTTGGAGGAGGATTTTGGAAAGGATTTGGTGGCATCTTGCTGTTAGGGGGTTCCCTGCAAAGGGAGAAGCACTTAAGGTATCTACAAGAGAACAAAAATCTCCTCTGTTATGAGCAGATGTACATCTTTAATTTGACTTCTTCACCAGGACTAGCTGGACAAAAGGAGCAAAGTCACTCCTGGTGCTCAGCTTTTAATATTTGGTGGGATTTAAGTGCCCTCAGGGTCTTACCCTGGGTCATTTTGCAAGTTGCACCCTTGATGTTCAGCATTAATAAATGAAGTTATTTCCCCTGTGTTCGGGACCCCAGAAGGACATCCCTGGAGGAAGCTCTCAAAAAGCCTCTCCAGGATGAATAGCAAAACAAAGCTCAGGAATGACAGAATCCAGGGAGAAGCAAGCAGCTGTAGGAGTCTCCACACGCTGCTCCTGATGTGTCAAGGACTTTTGACACGCCGAGAAGGTGGTGACCTTGAAAAGTCAGCAGAGTGGTGCTGAACAATGAGGTCATCCAGAGCTGAAACCTTCTCTTTTTCTGAAAAAACCTCTGAGCAGGTATTTCCTGCATATTTCTCCCTCCTAACCTGGCTGGGGTGTCCATTCCAAGAGGGAGGGTACATGTAATTTATTAAGAAGGTGGCCAGGTACTTATTTACAACGGCTCTGCTGAAGGAGCAGATAGATTGAGATAAGGGAAATGAAGAGCTCTCTAGGTGTGTTGGCAAAGAAAAATGCTCACTGGAGGTTGAATTAAACACTTCAGGGCATGCAAGGCTTAAAGATAAGCTAAGAACTTTGGCTGTGGACATACAGAGCAGTGTTTTCATGGCTCCTCCTGCGCTAATGGGAAGAAAAGCCTGATTGGTTTGAAAGGAACAACTCTTTGACCCTTTCCTTTGGTTCAGACTTGAGCAGAGCCTGTTCTGGGCATGAGTGTGTTTGTAAAATTGAGAGCTTCAGGAATTCTCCACGGAAAAGGAGAGGTTGGGGTCAGTGCATCCAGGAAGTGGTGGTGCTTAGGGAATTTGAAGGTGATGCCTGGTTAGACCACAGTAGATGACACTCAGCCCATTTCTCGACACCACATTTTCAAAATTACCCACATGAAGGAGATTGTTTAGGAGGAGAACTCAGGAGAGTGGAAAAATGCAAATGCCAGGTTTGATCATTGGAAACAGTGAGAAAAAAAAATGAATGATGGGAGCTACGAGAGAGTTGAGCAACTCTGAAATGAGATTCTGATCTTTATAGACTTTCCAAATCTTTTCTAAAGGTTTGGTTGTTGGATTGTTGTTGGGTTTTTTCTGGGTGGAGGAGAAGGTTGGAAGGTTCATAAGGTTCCCACCTGATGATCAATAATAATGACAGGGAGCTGAAAGAACTGGGTTCTCGTAAAGATAAATTGACTTTAGAGAGGGAGAAAGTGTTTACACCTGGAAGCAAAGTAGAAACCAAAAGAGGGTGCTCGGGGAGATGTTATCACACTCCAGGAGCTGCGAGTGAGCCAGGAGCAGGAGGAGGAGGAGGAGGAGGAGAGGAAGGTGCTCAGCTCTGCTCAACAGCAGAGCCACTGCTCACGGGGAGATGCTTTGAGATTCCACCCTGCACCTCCAGCTGAGGGTCTAGTGGCCCCACAGTGCCCCATGAAACGCCAAATTTGCATTGCACCGTATTGGGGCCTGATGACACCTTGAGAACAAGGCTCTTGCTGGAGATTGTCTTTTGCAGATTAAACTTTCCAGACTGTAACGCAGATCAAAGTGAGGTGTGACTGTTTCCCTGCTGTACTGAGCAGGGAGCAGTGTGAAAAAGCAATTAGAGGTATTTCTATATGTTTTTGGGGTTTTTTTTTTAATCTTAGATAATCTTCCCAGCAACGGAAACGAATATTTGAGGGCACCAACCTATAAACTCCTCTTTCTATGACTGGTATTTTCATTTTACCACTGTAGTAACCACCAAAAAAAAAAAAAAAAACAACCCAGAGATAGGCTTGAGTTTGGCTGTTCATATGATTAAAGTTTATGAGGTTGGAATCCTAAACTCCATCAGGGGCCTACTGATATAGGTCAGAAAATCCTTCTGGCTTCACAGCATTGTGGATGGAGCCTGCAGCAGGTTGATGGTAACTCAGTGGATGCTTTATCTTTGTTGGGAAGTGGGTAAGGGACTTTGGAAAGCTTTAGGAAGGATGTTGGTGACTGTAGTTGATGTGGAAACAAACTGTACAGATGTTCCCACAAAGTTAATCTCAGACACCAGAAAACATCCACATTTTTGACTCCCTGTAGTCAGTGGCTGGAGGATGAGTAGGAACAAGTAAACTAATGTTTTTCCCTGGAGACCAATGAAGGAATCTCTCCAGATGGTTTACAGAGACAGGACCACTTATCTCCCAATCCTAAAGCTGGGAATACCTCCTAAGTCCCAGTCTTGTGGGAGTTCAAAGGATTAAAATACGGGTATGTGGCACCCAAGGTGACAGAGGTAACTCAGCAAGTCCTCTGAAGCCTGAAACAATGTTTTAGAAGGTGTCTTTAGTCCAGAAATTTTGGTCCAGTGCTTTGTATAATATTTAACAGAGAAACAAAAATGTACACTTGGCACGGGCTCCATTTCACAGATGGCATTCTGCCAGCTGTGTACCCTGAATTAATCTGAAGCTCAAAAAAACCCATATCTAGCCACTGAGATAAGGAAAATGAGTTTAATGGGTCCTTTCCTCAGTTTTCTCCTGTGGGTTCCTGCAGAAACTTGTCTCCTTCCTCCAGCTGAGCTCCTCTGCGTGGCCTTCAACCCAGGGCTGAACTTTCCTGGGTGGGATAGTTTCAAGGAACTTACCCGTCCTCGTTGTCAGGGATCATGGAGTGATTCACCTGGAGATTTCCAGGGTGCAGACATGCCCCAGCCACCCAGGGGGGTTTGAGTCTCGCCAGCACAGCCTCTGGGGGCCAGGCCATGATTCACCCCAGCCCAGAGCACACACCTGAACTGGGCAGGGGAAGCGTGGCCTGGAAATGTCTGCTTCTCTCTGATTGCAAAAGCAGCCTGGGGTCGGCAGATCAGCTGGAGACACCCCAGCAAGCATTGGAGTGTGAGTGACAGGGACACAATTTCGGGTCAGGGTGAGCTCCTTCCTCCCTTTTAATGTGATGGAAAAAAGGGGCACTTCTGGAGGGCAGTTCATGCCATCCATCTCAGCCTCCCTGCCTGGGGTAGGATGAATTGTCCTCTAATATTGAGATTAATCATCTCCCAGAAGTCCAGCAGAGCTGGAAAGAGGCATCTAAGTTCAGGAAATCAGCTGGAAATCCTTTGCTTTTCCACAAACCTTCCACCTTCTCTGTCTAAAGTTCATTTAATGGAGGGCATCTTCTTGGCTGAGCTGATTATCCAGGTTCTAAACTCCTAGCTGGAGCCATTTGGGATCCAGAAATGGATGTCCTTATTTGCTTGGGAAGGATGGATTTGTAAGGCTTAGCCTGCAGTTAGCAAAGCCCTTGAGATGTGGCTCCTGACCATGTGAATGTCACCTTCTTCTCACTTCTGTCCCCTCTTGACCAGATCCTCTCCAGGAAAGGAGTTAATTGGCTGCAAAGACCCTTCTCTTTAAAACAAAGTAATTTTAAAATAATTTTTATCCTAGCTTAGAGAACTGCTAAAGTCAAGCTAATTTTCTGAAGCTGGCAAAGCCCTTGAGATGTGGCTCCTGTGTGGCTCCTGACCATGTGAATGTCACCTTCTTCTCACTTCTGTCCCCTCTTGACCAGATCCTCTCCAGGAAAGGAGTTAATTGGCTGCAAGGACCCTTCTCTTTAAAACAAAGTAATTTTAAAATAATTTTTATCCTAGCTTAGAGAACTGCTAAAGTCAAGCTAATTTTCTTCTGGACTTTGGCAACGATAGAATTCTTGTGTTATTTTTTAAGTCAGAGCAAAAGAGAGTGAAGGCTTTATTCCCTGACAGCCCTGTTGATAATTCAAACACACCAGGCTGTTCCCTAATGAAAACCACACAGCAAAAAATGAATGTAAACAGAAATACACACTGCCCAGGCAGGTTCCTCTTTGTCATTAATTCAGGGCAGAAAAGACAATCAAGAGATTTAATTAGAAGAAAAGGAAATTATACTCTAAAAATCCCTTCAGTTTTAGTAATCAAGGTTATTATTAGAAGCACCAGTAAAAAACACTTTAAAAATCTATCTAATTAGCTGCATATCTGCTGATCTCCCTGCAGAGCTGACTTGTTTGTCTCCAAGGCTTCACCAACATAAAGGTTCATGGACACTCCTTTCAAGACTTTCACTGGGCTGAGCACTGAGTTTCCACTCAAGTTTAATTGGGATTGGTTTTTGGTTGTTGGTTTGGTTTGCCTTTAATTTCACTCCCCTCACTTTAACCAAAGCCCCACAGAATGATGCTGTTCTCCATTCCAAATTCTTGGTGCTGCCTTTCCAGAGACTCAGAGCTCAATGGCTTCAGCTGCTGGAGTTATTCCTTTGGGTAGCTCTGAAAGTGCTTGTGACTCAGCTGCCAAAATTTCCTATAAAACATCTTGTACAGGTGTGCTTGTGTCTCAGAGAAAGAAATGCATGTTTGGACCCCTGGTTTCAGGAAGGAAGGAAGGAAGGAAGGAAGGAAGGAAGGAAGGAAGGAAGGAAGGAAGGAAGGAAGGAAGGAAGGAAGGAAGGAAGGAAGGAAGGAAGGAAGGAAGGACGGACATATTTCACAGCACAATGATGAATTAAGGCTTTGGGAGAATAAAGAAAAGGGCAGGAAGATATTAAAAATAGTATTTTTTGCCTTGCTGGTCATGTGAGGAACTGCAGGAGATATTTTGGGGAAGGATAACAATGAAAATAATGTTTTCTGGTGAGGAGGAATGCAGAGAAACTAAAGATGTTGATATATTCTGTCCCCATTCTTCTTAACCAAGCACAAAGGTAAAACCCAGCCTGACTGCATCTCTTTTCCCATTTTTCTTGCCCAGGTCCCTGGCCATTGGTCACCAGTACTCGTCCCTGGGGACTCAGCCCATCCTCTGCGGGAGCATCCCGGGCCTGGTGCCCAAGCAGCTGCGCTTCTGTCGGAACTACGTGGAGATCATGCCCAGCGTGGCAGAAGGTGTAAAGATCGGCATCCAGGAGTGCCAACATCAGTTTCGGGGCAGAAGGTGGAACTGCACCACTGTCAACGACAGCTTAGCCATCTTTGGGCCCGTGCTGGATAAAGGTGAGTGAGGAGCTGCGGGTTTGGGAGGATGGATGTGGCAGCAGAGATCTTGAGAAACCTCCCGTGAGCTTGTTCCCTTCTGAAAAAAATCCTGTGAAATGTCCTGCAAGAGACAGGGCTTGAGCTGGATAAAGGAGTGGGGTTATCTCAGTTCCAGCTGGGAGCAGGAGGTTGGACTGGAGACCTCCCTGAGTCCCTTTCAGCATGAGTTATCCCATGATCCTGCACCCCTGGGAATGAGCACAGGGGGTTACTGTGTTTGCAGTGCTCAAGCTGGACCTGGCTCCTTTTCTGAGCCCGTGCTGTGATTTCAGCTCTCTAGAGGATGGCAGAGGGGAAATGCTGGGCTGTTGGGGATGGTTCCTAGGGACTGGACTTCTCAGATAATAACAGTTTTTATACTATCATGGAATACAATGAAGATCAAAGGCCTGGGGAAATCACCATCAATTAATGCTTCTGCTTACCTTGGTTGTGAACACAGTAAATTAGGACAGGGTGCAAATTCAGGCACCTGTTTCTGCACCCTTTGATAGAAGTGGGAACTCTTACAAATTTTTTGTCCTAGGTTGTTGAATCTTGTGAGATTTAAGCCATAAGCTAAGCTTAAGTATCTGGTCTTTTCCCTTATAAGTTGGTAGGAGCCTGTGAGAACTCCATTATCATCCTTTGAACTTGTTGGGTGTCTTTTAAAATCCAGCCTGCTCCTGCTGGTCTCACTAAGTCTGGGATAAGTTTTACCTTTCCCTTTAGCACAAAAGGGCCCTTCCTTCCTTCCTTCCCTTCCTTCCTTCCTTCCTTCCTCCCTTCCTTCCTCCCTCCCTTCCTTCCTTCCTTCCTTCCTCCCTTCCTTCCTCCCTCCCTTCCTTCCTTCCTTCCTTCCTCCCTTCCTTCCTCCCTCCCTTCCTTCCTTCCTTCCTTCCTCCCTTCCTTCCTTCCTTCCTTCCTCCCCTTCCTTTCCTTTCCTTTCCTTTCCTCCCTCATATGAAAGAGGGAGCATCTGGAATATTTTCATATTGTATGTAATTGATCTTTACCCACCTTGGGGTATGCTCTGCAGTGCTTCCCATCTGGTTTATTTTTGAGTTTTCCCCCCACTGCATTACTCAGAACAGATTTGGGCATTTTCTTCCCCCAGACCAGGTTGCTCCAAGCCCCATCCAACCCGGCCTTGAGGACTGCCAGGGATGGGGAGTCCACAACCTCTCTGGGCAATGTTCTCCCAGTGAGTCTGGGATTTTACACCCCACATCTCCAGTAGCAATTATCCTCGTGGATAAACTGCTCCTCACCTCCCTCCTGACCGGAGGAACCCCAATCCCACGATCTGCCAAATTCCCTTATCTCCCACAGTGCCGGCACCAAGGGTCTGGACCTCTCTGGGCAATGCTCTCCCAGAGAGTCTGGGACTTTACACCCCACATCTCCGGTAGCAATTATCCTCGTGGATAAACTGCTCCTCACCTCCCTCCTGACCGGAGGAACCCCAATCCCACGATCTGCCAAATTCCCTTATCTCCCACAGTGCCGGCACCAAGGGTCTGTCCCTGCTCCACACTGGAGGCTCTCTGTAGCCAGGCTCGGGGAGGGAGAGGAGACTGGGACGATTTCATAACTGAAGAATGTTGTTCCTTGAGGGAGAATCAAACCACCCTTCAGTTTTGCTTCACCTACAGCAGGAGGGGGGGAGAAAAAAAAACAGCTCAGTCGCATTCTTGTGCGGCAGATCCCCCAGGGTAGGAACATACTTGAGCTCCTACCCAGAAAGAGAGAAGGGGAAAAGGAGACAGAGAAAGCAAGGAAGCAAAAATCTGTTTTGCAGCTTGGATTTTAAGTCACCCAGGATCTGAGTGCAGCTGTCCTGGGAGGCAGTGGGGTTCCCATCCTCCCTCAGTGGCTCCTAAAGCATCTCCCCTTTGCCTCACAGGCTATCTGCACTCCTTTCACTGAAAAGGGTCGATTTTAATGCCTTCAGGAAATCCTTTCCAGGCCCAAATCTTGCTGAGGCTGCCTCACAATCTGACTGCCCTTGCTGCTGTGGTAGCTCATTGCTCATTCAGGACTAGGCTTGAGCTGTGATTCAGCAGTGCCAAACTGTCACCAGACTCTGGTCCTGTTAAGAGCCATGTTCTGATATCTCATCTAAGACCAGACTCTTTTCCCCCATCAGACTTTTTATGGAAAAAGCTCCCATATGTTTTAGCTAAGACTATATTTATGTATAATTTTTTTTTAGCCAGGCCTGATCTCCAGAGGTCTCTTCCAACCCTAGCAATTCTGGGATTTTGGAGTGAATCACACATTAAACAGGAATGGCATTGATGAGCTTAGATACCAGGGAATGGTGATGTCCAGGGGATCCTGTCCTGCTGCTGTTGAAGGCAACACTTGACCCTAAATCCTTCTTGCTCTTTGTGTGTCACCCAGGGCAGAGGAAGAGGAGAAATCCCTCATCCCACCCTGTTTGAGTACTTCCCTATTCAATTATCCAGAGAGGTGTGGACTCTCTATCCCTGGGAGTGTCCAAGGCCAGGCTGGATGGGCTTGGAGCAACCTGGGAAAGTGGAAGGTGTCTCTGCCTGTGGAATGTGTCCCTGCCCATGGCAGGGGTGTAACGAGATGAGCTTTAGGGTCAGGGCTGTGGGACGGGGTTTTTCTCCTCCTCTGTGGTCTTGGGAGTGTATGGGCAGGAGTGCAGCTTCATGGAGAAACATTCAGACAGGTGCCACTGCTGGGTCTTCCTTGCAAATCCCCAGGAAATGGGAGTTTTGGTCAGTTTGGACTACTTGGAATGCAAAAACCAGGATTCGTGTATGGAGAAAGAGTTGAGTCTGATCTCTTTCTCTCTACCTAAACTTATTCTGCTTATCGTTTCTGATCTAAAGACACTACAACTCACTTCTAGTATGCCAGAAGCTCAAATCTCAACTTCTGGACAGTAGGAAGAACCTCCCACTTAAATTTTTGCAACAAAATAATCAAAAGGAAAAATCCTGTAATATTGAAAGGGAAAATACTGTTATTTGTTTCTCCACCTGTATTTTATGAAGCGGAGAAAACCATGGCAATGGCCACATGACCTGAAGTGACCACTGAGCCACAGCTCATGCTCAGCCACTTGTCTGAGAGGCCTGGCAGTTTTTAATGCAGTTGTTGCACCTTTCAGTTTACCAAGGAGAAGGGAAGATTTTTGAGTTGCCTCTGAAAAGACGCAGGATAAAACTTTAGAGGATGTAGGAGAAGGCCACCTCATCACCGACAGCAGAAAGTGAGCAGTGCAACCTGACAGGCATTTTCCATCTCTAGCTGAAGTGCCATGCATTGGGAATTGTGCCTTTTGCCTTTATTTTAGCTTTTGTTGCCTGAAGAGGCTGTTCATGCTTAAGCTTTGAGTTTAGAGTCTCTCGGTGCCGCGTGAGCTCTCTTTGAAACTCCTCTGGGCAAAAATATGAACCAATCTCCAGAGAAGTAATACAATTAAAGCTTATCATGGCCCTGTCTCTTTAAAGGACCTCAGCACATAATTAAGTCAAAATAAAAGTTTCCTCTCTCTCCTCCCCCCCATTCAATAAAAGTAAATTACCTCCAACTATTTAAGCCCGCTGTTCGTTTAAATTTAAAAAGGGAGCCCTTGTCTATCTATTTCTTTCACTCACTCCCACCTCCTTCTGCTAAAGACTGGCCAGGGCTTTAAACCTGCCAGCTGGGCTGAGAAATGGTTAATAGTTATTGTGGAGGAGCAGCTTTTAATGAACTATTGAAGAATGATACATTGATGGAGTAATGGGAGTTTAAGTCTCTCTGTAATGAAACAGGTTCTCAGCGCCGACCCATTGTGGTGTAAATACGGCACGTCTCTCCCACTGTTTGGTCAGGACTAAATAGCAGAGGCCAGAGGGGGGTCTGCTTATGGGGTCTCCGCTTTAGTTAATCAATCTGATTGGATTAGGGTCACTGCGATCCCTAATAATGTCAAAGGTTACGCCAAACTGGATTAAATGCTTTGTTGGAGAGGGCTCGGATTCTTTCAGCCCCGGCCGGCAGGGCTTGTTTATTAGACTTTAACACTCGTGTGCAGCCTTGGGAAGCCCTTTCTGTGCGCACTGGGAGCACGAGGGGGTGGGAAGGAGCCGGGGCACGGGTGTCCCGTGGCTCTGCACCCATGGGATGTGCCCTGTGAGGATGTACATCAAATCCCCCAGCGGACAAATGAGAGCCTAATGGGTGACCGAGGCCCGTGGGGCATAAATTCATTCCGGAAATAATGGCTGGCCACTGACCCCGCTCCGAGGCAAATGTCGAGAGTCACAGCAGTGGTGGTGTGACCCTCTGCTCGTGTCCCTTGGGGTTAATCCTGTCTGTGTCCAGCAAAGCCCTGTCCTTTCACTGAATTCACAGAATCCACAGAATTCCCAGAATGGCCAGGTTGGAAGAGACCTTCAAGACCATGGAGTCCAACCCAGCCCCAACAGCTCAACTGAACCCTGGCCCCCAATGCCACATCCAGGCTTTGTTAAACACACCCAGGGATGGTGACTGCACCACCTCCCCGGGCAGCCATTCCAGAAGTTTATCACTCTTTCTGTGAAAAACGTTTTCCTGCTATCCAACCTGTATTCCCTTGGTGCAGCTGGAGGCTGTGTGCTCTGGTTGTGTCAGTGCTGCTGGAGAAAGAGCCCAGCCCCAGCTGAGCACAGGCACCTTTCAGGGAGTTGTAGAGAGTGATAAAGTCACCCCTGAGTCTCCTTTTCTCCTGAGTCTCCTTTCTGGTGCAGCCCCTCTTTGGGCACCCACCAGGCTGAGCATGGGATGAAATATGGAGTATTTCAGACCACTGCATTGCTTTGCTGTTAAACTGGGAGGTGATAGGGCCTTCCAGCACTTCCATCTCAAATCAAGGTGGGATGGGATCTCCCTGTCATCTTACCCAGAATGACCACAAAGCCTAAACATTTCCTATGGTCTTCGCTCACCATGTTCCTGCAGATGACACTGTCCTA